CCCCCCCCACAGCTTCTGCACTAACAGAGAACAATATGACAGGGGGCACTGATGGACATTATGTATTCTGAGCCCAGTCTGTGTAATAACATTCATTGTGTATTTAATGAACATACATTATGACATGGGACAGTGATGGATATTATGTGGGCTTGGAATACATAATATCCATCAGTGTCCCCTGTCCTGCCCCAGTGCACATCTCCCTGTCTGCCTACCTTTCTCTGATTCCAGTCAGACTGTCACTGAACTATTTGCACTGGAGAGTACAGTAGATACAGCGGCGGATTGATATCTGCTGTACTCTCCAGTGCAGGCCGGGCCGGAACTTTAACTTAATTGTCGGGAGCCGCGGCTCCTGATATTAATGCGCCGGCCGAAAGTGAGAAAATAGTCCCTTCTCTCCCCGGGCCATACCACTTTATCGGAGAGCCCGGGGGAGGCCGGGAGAGAGGGGACAGTTTTACATTATGGAGTTCTCACAAGCTGTACTACAAATTCCCCTCTCTATTTCGCTCTACTGCAGATGGGCCGCTCCATGAAGAAATTACACCGCGACCCACTGCAGAAGGTGTCGCGACCCACTTTTGGGTCGCGACCCACGAGTTGAGAACCACTGTTCTAAACAATAGGGTTGATATAAGGAGTAACGTGTGTTCACTTTGCAAAGTGAAGTTTCATTTAGCTTTGTGAATGAGGTGAAGACTGGCTATCCATGTGCAAAGGTAAAGGAGTTGTACAGTCCTAGCATATCCTCTCCTGTATAACATCAGCATTGTAATAGGAATACACACTAGAGGTGTTTCTGAGAATACAATCAAAGCTTACTTAAAAAAATCCCTTTTATGTAGTGAGTGCTGCCTTCTGTCTGCCCATCACTTTCACCAACTTCCTGGATTCCCAGTGTGCTTTGCATCTCTTTCCCTGCTCCTTGATGTGATGCATTATTGATTTCTCAAGACTACATGGTCCCTAATACATTGCTTCCATTAAGCAATGATAATGATACATTGTTCAGACATTGCGTTGTAGTTCAGAAGGCAGGCTCTGTGAGAGTTGTAACAAAAGAAGTACATATTCAAAGAGCTGAGAGAAATTGTGCCACCAGGGGTGTCCCTACAGTATTCACAGCTTAAAGAGGGGGTTGTGGGCTTGTGTCAAACGTTACCGGGGGGAGAGGGAGGGGTTGGCTGCTGCAACTTTGGGGTCCGGCTTTGTCCGGAGTCCCGCCCAGCTCACTGACATCACTAGTTGCCAGGAGCTGGACAGGATGCCAGCCAGAGGATCCCACTCAGCTCCTGGCAACCAGTGACTTCAGTGGTTGCCAGGAGCTGAGCAGGACGCTCCGGCCAGGGCGCCACAGGTTGCTAAGGGCTCTTAGCAACCTGGGTACTCTCTGGCCGCAAAAGGGAGGGCAGGTGTGCCCCAGTTAGATGCCACCGGAGGCAATAGCCTTGAGGAAGTACATCCTATGGGCATCTTCAATAAATAAGTATACAAACTTCTGGATTGATACGGCTATTAGGAGTGGGATAGAAGTTATGCAAATGCCGTGTAGAAATACATATTTATTTTTAGTTTTTGACCATAGAAACTCTTTGTTACATTCTACTCCTGTAGTAAATCAACCCTCTTGCATCCAAAACCGATAATAATAATTAGCTACCCACATAACCTATATTTGTGCTTTATCTGAAGTTCTCTTTTTAGGTCCATTGCACACTGATGGTTTGGATACAGCTCTGTAAATGCAGCATCCTGCCGTGACACAAAAGAAGAAAACTGCTGAGAGATGTATTTTCTGCATGTCTACAGCTTGTGTAAATTAACCAGTTAATAGTATATGGTCATACACACCGAGCACCCAACCCTAGCCCACATCTGATCATGCAGAAGACTAAGCACCCAGCACAATCATGGAGCTGTGCAAATCAAATCTGTCAATGAAGATATTCATACGTGTATGCTCCTGACAGCTTCTAGACTTAACCGATAACATAATCTACATGATTGCGATGTATATCAATTTGTGCTCCTTTATAATGGGAATTAAGTGGCAGAAAAACAATGTCATGTGTGTTGTCAAGTGATTTATTTCTAACATAAACCATACAGGTATAAATACTGATAAGTACATCTTTATATAAAATATGGACATAATCATGTTATCAACTCACTGCCTGTCTTTCTGTTGCGAGCCTATAGCAGGGGTAGGCAAACTCCAGCTGCGGTGCAACTACAAGTCCTTGGAGGCATTGCAAGACTCTGACAGCCACAGGCATGACGTCCACAGGCAGATACATGATGGGATTTGTAGTTTCACCACAGATGGATGAATGGAGTTTGCCTACCCCTGTCCTATAGAATACACAACAGCACTTTGGAGCTATGCCTGAGCTGACAAAACATGTCATCATATTTGTTACCCATTCTGTGTATTGCAGGTGTAAAGTTTCTGTTATAATCAGATTTGTATGATTGCCACATCTAAGCAAAATATAGTCATGACACAAAACATCCTCACTGGGTTTCTCAGAACCTGGCTGATTCACTGCATTTCCACAAACCTTCGAGCTTACTTACTGTTACTGGTCGGATGCAGTAACGTGATAGAGAACCCAGACCCTGTAATTCATCTCTAGCTCAGGCTGTAGAATTAAAGTAGTGCTCCAGCCAATTTTTGGATAGACCGGGGAAGAGTTAGAAGCTCTGTTAGGTGTTTATTGCTATGCCCCAGTTAAGAACTGTATTTTATATCTAGGGCAAAGGATATGAGTGGAAATCATCAATGGACTTGGACAGGAATTGGAAGGTATGCATGGTAGAAGCTGGATCCATAAGTGGTTTCATTCACAGTGTGGAGTAGAATCTGCTTTGTAAAATGCAATAGTTCTAGTAAGGCAGCCCTTGAACATGAAAGGCTACATAAAGCACCTTGATTAAGAATCAGGGGTTGAGAAGGAACAAGAGCTCCATACCAATGATAGTCAGAATCCAGAATGGTTTATTTTATCATTAAAAGTCAACACATTTCGGGTGATTGTAAGGTACCCCCTTTATCAGGGCTTGAGATTTTTTTTAGGATGAAACAAATAGCAGATTCAGAAGTGTTTGTAAGATACAGAAGTATAGTTCCTCCTTCTTTTCAAAGCAGGCTTTAGCAGTCCTGCTTTGAAAAGAAGGAGCAAGTCTACCTGGATTTTAATGATGAAATAAACCCTCCTGTACCCCAAACACTTTGGTATTCCACACTTGTTCTTCATAACTCCACCAATAAAAATCCAAATAAGGCTTTTACTCCCTCTTTACTCTGTTTAAAATAATGGCTGGGATTCTACTTTAATGTAATTTCAGTGTAACACTAGAAATCTGCTTTCATCTGTAAATATAACTCTTAACAAAAGGTTATTTTTTTTTAGCTGGATGCAAATGTTTCATGAATCTCTAATTATAACAAAGTCCTCCCACACACACTAAACTTGTTATGTGCTGAATAGAACAATATGGAACAATAAACACCAATTTTAATATACCTGATTGCTAGATCTTTTCAGAACAGTATAACTCTTTGTACAAAACAGTAAACAAAACTATATCAAAATAATATGAAGTGCAACTATATGCAAAACGCTGCATACAAAACAGTTTCGATAGTTACCTGTGCAGGAAATTGAAGCATTTATAGATCTATATAAATATATCTAAAGTGTGCTGAAGCAGGAATGGGACATTTTCTTTTGATAATGTGTTTTGGCTGTTGCATGTAGCTCATATGAGAGCTCTGTCTCTTTTTTTTTTTTTATATTAAAGAAAAAAGATATTTTACAAGTTCCAATGACCACATGATAAACAACCCATAAAGTTCCAGCTGCGACTGTTCTATAACACGCAAAGTACTCAGTAGGTTTAGACCATCAGTAGGTAGCAGAAGGGAACCTTTTCCACTCTAATCAAACCCAGTTTTTTTTTTCATTCTATATTTGGATATTTTATATCCTCACCATCAGCTGCTTTTTTAGATGTAGCCATATAATGACAATAACTACTTCCAATAATGAGCATAGCACAGAAGAGAGCAACCTGGTGGATGTCAGCCCAGCAGGTATCCCAAAAGGGCCCCTTAATTGTCATATGTGTAATACATTCTATTTTGAACCACTGGGCTGTGTCTGGAGACCAAATAAGTGAAAGTCAGTGACACTTGTGGCTTGTTCTCAGAAGGTGATGAGCACCAATGAGTAGGGAATGAACTGGGTTTTCAAAAGCACCAAAAGTATTGACAACAGCTACCTAAATTATACATTCAGCCATTGGAATGCCTGAACCAGTTGCTGATGGAACCTTAGGATGTAATAGTACAGAAACAGCTGAAGGTACAAAGCACTGAAGAGCTAGTACTTATGAACATACACTAGCATGATCGGTATTAAAGTGCTCCGTAAGTCCTGGAAACGGTGGTTCTTCTTCTTCTTGGAGATTTTCCACTGTGCTGCCATTTTTGTCACCAGCAGTTGCACTTGTGTCTGCTCCCCTTCCTTCACTCACAGCTTCATCATCTGTCAACCTTTCTTGAGAATGTTGAGTCTTATCAATATTTCCTTTTTCTTCTGCCTCCATGGTGTCTGTGATTCCTTCCACTATTGGTGAACAATTGGTATTGGTATCTCGAATAACTGGTGATCCTTCAACTTTTTCTTTCTTCAGCTGGGTCGCTACTTCATCGTGAAGGCCATCGCTCTGGTTATAATAGATGTTCCCATCTTTTGGGTGATTGATGTGTACCTGCACTGTGTCATCCGTTTTCATTTGCTCTTCGTTCTTCTTGTTCCTGTCTGATTCATTGTCTTTAGAATTAGCTTTTCCTTTCCCTTTTCTTGAGTGCTTGCTGTGCTTTTCATCTTTTGAAAATCTCCACTGAAACTGAAATGAGCAAGTAGACACGTTTAATGTGAATTAATGAGGGAACATTATCAAAGGAGCTTTGAGAAACTCTTTTAAAAGTGGTTAATTAGACATTTTCAAAGTAACTGACCTGTGTCAATGATTGTTAATAATAATACATATGCATAAAGTATGTATGTAAAATACTGTATATTGGAGGGGAAAGAGACACAGTGCTTTTATACAGGAACTCTGGCATGACCTCTAATATTATTTTTAGTTCACAGTAAACACATTCCCTGGAATTCATAAAGGGTGTCGTAGACACTTATTATAAAGCTGTCTCCCATCTGTGCAACAAATGGCGCAACTTGCAACAGATTTACTTAACTGTTGATAAGGTGTACATGAATCTCCTGCAACATTGCCTCAGACAGAGTTTCCTCTCATGCAGAATTTTATCTGTTAAACAAGAATTTATGTGCAACCAGGGGCGACTTTTGGTTGCATGTCCTAGTGAAATTCCCTCTAACAATTTACATACTATGCATGTCAGACTAACTGGTCTATAGTTCCCTGGTTGGCATTTTGACCCTTTTTTCAATATAGGTACCACATTAGCCCTTCGCCAGTCGCTTGGCACTCTACCAGCTATTACCTATTCCTTCAAAATGAGGAACAATGGTCTCGTGATTTCCTTGTTCAGTTCCTTGAGTACCTTGGGATGTAGATTATCGGGTCCTAATGCTTTATTTGCATTTAGTAGTTTAAGCCTATGTTGTATCCCAGTTTCCGTCAACCACTCAGGTGTATTTCTTGTTAAATTTTGTGTTTTATCATGTACATTAAACCGGCCTGTTTCCTTGGTGAATACCGATGAGAAGAAAATATTTAGTGCCTCGCCCCTCTCCCTGTCGTTTGTGAGTAACGACCCATTTATGTCCTTTATTGGGCCTATCTGTTCCTTTCTCCCCTGCCATGACTTAAAAAAAGGTTAGGAAATGCTCCTTTAATTTCTGCTTTTGCACTGCTTGCTCTCTATACTTGTCAACCACTGGGCTTATAGTATGCTACCACTTCCACAATGTTACACCATAACATGGTGTACACATTCATAGTTGGGAGAAGAAGGCAGCTGCATCAATACATGACTGCAGAGAATGACCACAAAGGTAGCAGTGAGAAAGTCCAGGATCAAATGAGAAAAGCCAGTTCATTGTAAATTCAAGTCACTTTCAGTTCATGTCAAGAAAATGGACTACTGCTGTGTGGAAAAAGAAGTTAAAAAAAATGTCTGTTTCTGCCAAGGATCCCTAATTACTCCCGGTACAATACCCAACCTGAGAAAAAAATCATAAGTTAAAAACTCCAGCTTGCCACTACCCTTTTAAAAACTAAAGATTGTGCAATTATTCATGATTAAAACTTTAATCATGAATAATTGCAAACCATCTGGCAATGTTAAAAATGTTGGTTTGATAAAGCCATCTTTTTCGCTTCAAAGGCATACTGTATTCTGCTTTTGTTTTCTCCATAGGGAACTAGTGTTTTGTGTGAGACTGAGGAAGTACTAGAAAGACAGTACATAAATTAATGAAGCTCTTTCTGATTAATTATATATTGCAACATAAAGTAACACCTAAGTCTACGTGTTCCAGACTAAATGCAAATTACAAAAGCATATATTCACTTAGTGTTAATAAATTCCTTTCAAGCTGCAGAGCAAGTGGGTGAATTGGTAACAAGGGAGGATGTTATTAAAAGAACCATGCTTAAACAAAATGACTCTGTGGCAGTCCTCCTGTCTAAAGTGACCCTGGTATGTACGCATGTGAGATAGGGAGCTTAGATTTTAAGCTCCTTAACGGCAGGGAATGATGTGAATGTACAATATGTAAAGCGCTGGGTAAATTGTTGGCGCTAAATAAATACCTGTAATAAATGAAGACTCCCTCTGTCTGGCCACTTTAGGATTATGCACAAAGCAACATAATTTGGAAAACTACGTGCATTGAAGGTCACCCACACCAGTTTGCTGTGGGTTCATATAAGTTCACATATTGGTACGTCTGGGCCTATATTAAAGTAACAGTCAACACTAACAGAATGGCATTTGGTTTGTTAAAGAACTGTGTGTCATTAACAATTGCCATGTGCAGTGGCCTATGCCATGTGTTGCATGTGTTGAAACAGCCACAAGCAGCCTCTACTGGAATCCCATATGACATACAGCCGGGAAACAGGGGCACTGTAAGCCTATAATAACAGGTGCTGAACAAAAACCTTCATGGCAGAAACACCAGATATTATTTTAATGAAATTGAATTGAATTTAAAAATATTTTATTTTGAGTATGCGGTTCAGTTTTGGTCACCAATCCACAGAAAGGATGTCCTGGAAGAGGAGAGAGTCCAGAGAAGGGCAACTAGACTCACTAGACTCAGGGGCTGGAGGATGAAAGCTATGAGACGAGGTTGCTAAAATTGGACTTGTTCACGCTGGAAGTGAGGCGATTAGGAGGGGATATGATTTTAATGTACACAATGTTTGCTGGTAAAGACAACATCAGCAGTAAACGTTTTACAGTAAACTCCATAACAATGACTAGAGGCCACCTCCTCAAATTGGTAGAGAAAAGATTTATCTACAAAGGGCATAGGGGCTTCTTTTCAGTCAGAGCGGTTACATTTTGGAACTCACTGCCACAAGCAGTGGTATCAGCAGAGAGTATTGAATCATTCAAAAATCAATTCAGGGACCGTAACATACAAGGGTACAGGTACTCTGAAAACCTAGAACCACACAGGGACTCACATACACATAAGCACGCAAGCACACCACACACACTTACACAAAAGGTTGAACTTGATGTACCTGTGTCTTTATTCAACTTCAAATACTATGTAACAATGTAAAAGACCTGTAGCCAGACCATTAATTTTAACAAAAATGTTTTAATCCGATTATATATGCATTTAATGTATTTTATATATGTTATTTAAAGCCTTCCTTGCCTAGATATTCAAAAGCCCTGAGACGGTTGCTGAGTGCCGCCATCTTGGATGTGATGTCAGCAGCTCCAGGACAATCAGAGTTGTCACTTAAGTGACAACTTGCTTAATACTCCCGGGCAGTTAAAAGAAAGGTTATGTTGGGAAATAAAGGGAGGGGCAATGGAGCTGGGACAGCGTAGAGAGTAACTGGACACTCCATGAAGAGGAGAGGGCTATGATGTATAAGGAGGAAGGGGACTATGTTGAGGAATTGCCCTGATGTAGTCGCATTTTTTAGCAAATACAAAGGTACATTACAAGTAAATAAAAATAATTTTTTGGATATTTGGTTGAACTCGATGGACATGTGTCTTTTTTCAACCCGACTAACTATGTAGCTATGGAAAGGAAGTTCAAGAAAGCATTTAAAATTCTTGCTTTTTCTGTGCTGTTACCATTAATTGTTTTTAAGTTGGTGACAGGGTCTCTTCAAAGGTATACTCATAAAAATGTTAATTAGGTGTGTAGATCTTCCAATTAGGTGTGGTTATCAGACACCTCTAGCTGAGGCCACTGTAATGCTTTCTAATGCGCAGGGTGGGGGGAAGTGGGTTGGTAATTCCACCATATGTGTATACTTAACAGTATTTTATTTCCTAGGTCAGTGATAAAATGTAAAGAATGTTACCTTTGGCTCTTTCCTCTTCATCTTATGGGGCAGTGCTGGTCTCTGCAGGAACACAATCTGCTTGGTAGTGACATTACCATCCCTGGAAAAGAGATTCATAAATAAGCAATGGATGTCATCAGCCATACATACTGTGAGTTCCCACAAACCTAACCACTTTCACCATTAACCATTAGCCTGTATTTCCATTTATATGAGATCGATTCTATGCTGAAATGGACGCAATCTGGAATCAAGAATTTCTCCGCGAGGATACAAGCGGATGATAATTTATTTCCAAAGTGTGTGCCAACATATGAAGGCCTTTCTATTTAAATGCAAGCTGCTTCCAAATAACGTGTTACTCCTGAAGAAAATGTTAATAAGCATAAACCATTCCTCTTACTGCCATGTCAAGTATTACTCAAATACATAAATGGAATTTGACAGGAAACACATCATCTTATTTCCTGCTTGAAAATTGTAATTTATATATCACCATTCAAACGTCAAGCAAACTGATCATACCCAGTTGAACAGCAAAACCAGAAACACTGAAATAAAACATCAGCAAAAATCTAAACTAATGTTTGAAATGCTAACTACTTAACATATACATGTTCTATCCTCAATTATAATTGGTGCTTTATACCTGTAAAACAGTCCAAAGCCCCCCAATCTATATAACTACTATAACCCAAAGAGAGACACCATTCTTTAGTTGTTTCCTTGCCAGATTACAATGATACTTCTAGAAACCTGTCAGTGATCTGTGAAACTGCCATTGTAAGCACCTCAAAAGGCCTGAAACAAACATCAGAGGAAGCCTGCAAAAAAACAAGGACTATAGACAGTTTGTGTGATTTGCTTTTTCTCCTATTTTGGTTTCATTGTGCTGACATTTTTACACTGAACCTGATTTAAAAGACAACTTCTTTAAATGTTCTCCCCAGGCACCTACCAAAATACTTATGTTTAGCTCTTTTCAAAAAATCTTCATTGTGCGGCCTATTAATTCCTATAGGTGGTCCATTTATTTCCATACGTGGTCTGTACTCATGAAGTCCCCCTGCCATCCAGAGGAGTATAAACAAGCCATAGGAATGAATTGGCCAAGCTGTTTGCATGCACAGTAGAAGCTGAGTGTGGTGCCAGGAAAAAATGCACAACAAAGAACTTGGAAGTGGGACTAAAGGTAGATATTCTGGTAGTAGGCTACCACTTAGGAGGACAGGGGATATTTAAAGGACAACTTCCCTAAAAATGAAGTTATCCCTCAAAGGAAACCTTTGCATAGTTTAAAACAACTACACTGATAGTAAGACTAAAAAATAGACACTCGGGGGGCCTACTAATACCTTCTGATGTGTGCATGAATTTAATGTTTAGAGTGTTCACTCACAGTCCTCTTGGGCTCTTTCCTCTGTAGCATTTCACTCTAAGAAAGAACTTCATCAAAGCATAGTGAAATTAGGTTCTTTCTCAAAGTGAAATGCATCACATAGAGGAGCACAGGCTGGCTTCTAATGGACAATAATAATAAAAGTTTTAAACAGCGGTGTTGAAGTTTATTGTGCAGTCTTCCTTTTTCTCTTGCAATCACAGTCATGGACGAAGGGGTGAGTTGGCGCCCAAAGTGAAGGCAGAACAAAAATGAGTCTAGGTTGGAGCATTATTGTAATATATTATTTGGGATTTATCTCTGGGTCTACTGATCATTTTGACCTACATTACATTGAGGGTAACCTCTGCCCATGCAGTTGTTTTATTAAATGCTCAGTTGGAATTGTCTAGGATTGCTACAGGTTTACTTTCATGCAGTTCTCTATAATGCACGGCAGCTACATTTCAGACTGTTCTTCATATGTAAGATCGGTGATCTACTTCCTGAAGCTTATTGTGTGCAGCTTCCCCTCTGTCTACTTAAGAAATCTAAAAACCAAGGCAGGTTTTAATTAGTGGATGAAACACAAAGCTCTGGCTCTTTGATACACCAGGCTTACTGTATAAGGGAGACAACAAGTAACCTACAGTGCATGCATGAGTTTAGGAATATATCTCCTGCATTACAAAAAGGTAAGAAAAAGGGTTCCAAGATAACAGGATTGCTAATGAAAAACCTGGATGACACTAAACTCAAACGTTAAAGGAGATCTATGAGGTGAGGGATTTACACTCATCCTCATAGTTAGAACCGACGTGTGACATTGAAACTGTCACAAAGCGGCTCTATAGATCGGGAAGTGAACAAACAGATACCGTCGCTCGCTCACTTCCCGATTGTCTCCCTGCAGAGTGACAGACACTGCTCCCTGCAGGGATTCCCTTCCTCCAATTCTGCAGCGCTGACTGGAGGAACAGGCAGGGAAGGGGGGCACAGCTAGCTCTTCGTCTGGGTGGCTCTTGACAGTATTGTTGGGATCCGTCCCGCCTGCGGCGCTCTCAGCATATAGAGGGAAATAACCCGCTATATACGGAGCTTTGGGTCACGGGAGGAAGTTAGTATATGACCTCCTGTGACCCTAAAGAGAACTATGGGATAAAAAGGTTACCCTATTCTCTTTTAAATCTTAAAAATGCATTCAAGTACCTTAACTATTAACAAAAATGTATCTTATTTGTGTATCACTTAGCTGTACATCCTCAAATCATCTCTGAATTCATGCTAATTCATGCATTCATGCAACTGTCCTTCCTTCTGGAGGGGTGCTATTTTTGTTCCCCATGATCCCTGTGTGTGTTGTAAAGTAGCCATCACTCCAAGCTCGCTCCTGATATGTACTATAATATCATGTTTAGTTTACTGATTTGTATTGAAGTTATAGTCTATGATTTTACAATACCTTTCATTCACCTTTCTGCATTAATGTAAGTGTTATGCCATTTTTGAACATTATCTAGGAACTTTCACCTGTTACTTTCAAGTTTTACTGTTCAAACGCACAGTAATCGCACATTAAACTCCCTCTTCGTTCTGGGGCGGTAGGGGATGTGGCGGTACATTAAAGTCAATGGTCCAGTGCATGCTGCATTTTTTTGCGATCGCACTGGAACGGAACGCTGCAATAATTTGCCACGCGTCCAATCGCACTGCCGACGGGGTGTGTGGCTGCAGTCCCATTGACTTCAATGCACGGGTAACTTCATGTTGTTTACCAGATATGTTTTCCTCCACAGAAAACCAAAAAACAACCAGAGGGTTAAAGAACCAGGACGATGTTCCTTGTCACATATTTCAGCACCAGCAAGAGAAATATCCTGACAATTATGCTTTCCACTTATAGATGAGGAACTTCAATTTACTATGTGTTCCTTCCGTCTGTGGATGTTCCCGATAGCTGACAACTCACAAATGAGTTTAATTTGACCTCTGTCTACCAAAAGCAAATTATTCACAGGAATTTGGAACAGTAATGAAATGTATCACTTTTAATTCAAGAGGAATATTTAACAGCCATGGCCATACAGATGAGGCTTTTTTATGAGGCTTGTTCTACAGGTCAATTGCTTAACTAAAGGTTGTGCCCTTGTAGACAGTGTAAAAATGTGTATGTTAAACAGGGAACCTCAAAGGTTATGGATAATAGCTGAGAATCTAGTGATACCGTCTCAAGATTGTGGGGATCCTCCACATCAACAGTGGTTGGTTTAAGTTCCCTGAAACGTAGGGTCTAAGGAACATCAGGCTGTAGCCACAAATGCCCACAAATTAGGTATGGAGCTTCACAGGTTTTCCCCAGTGACAGCAGGTAATGTTGATGGGTGACAAACAAGGTGAAGAACCAGATCAACTGTCAGTCAGTCACTGGAGCCTGTAGGCACAAACGTTTTGGAGTCCTAAGTAACACCTCTCTTCTAGGGTCACCTACACTTTACCTAGGGCATTATTTTGTTTTCCTGGCCCTAACCTGATTTTGAATATTGTACTGATGTGTACTTAACCTTACATGATCAGATCAGCAAAAGAGAAAGAACAATTTTTCTAAGAAACTGTGCAACATAGCCTACCAAGCAGAATTTGTTTGGTGTCGGGAAAAGTCAGAGGTATGCTAGCACTGTGTCTCTGCTGTAATTTGAATGAAGCCCAGCAGATGGAGTAGGTGTGTGACAAAGAATGTGTTCAACAGCGGAGGACAGATACTGGAATCAGAACTGCCCGGGAAAAGCCAGACCTGTGACTGTCTAAAGGGTTAGCAGTAGCACGTGGTTCATACAGGTAAAAATAATGAACTCAACTTACAAAAGAAGTTAAAAAATAAAAACAAAAAAGTATAGTTCTGACATTTAAACACTTAGGCAAAGGCATACATTAAGATTGGCAGCCAGAACACACTAATGTATGAATCTTGGTTTTCTAACACTACAATTGAACTTGAAGACCATGTTGGGAGAAAACAAAATCGCTATTACTACACAGGCAGATGTAGTCATCATAGTTTGCTATCATCTTCATAAAAGGCAGAAGATATAGAAGCATAGGTGTGTAACAAAGCAGTATAAGATCCCAATTATACTTTGCCATTTTGGTGCATTGCGTTACATGCTCGTTGATATGCACTATGTTGCGCATTAACATGCATTACATTAAGAAAGACCATTCAAATGAATGGGCTCCCAACACACCAGAACAGACAAAAAACAGACATGCAGCTTTTTTTTCTGATGCACACTACCATGCACATGAGTGAATTAAATGAGAATTGGGTGAGTGTGTTGGGTTGCTATTACAAATAAATGGTGCTGCAATGTACGTTGTGGTAACCCAAATGTTACTGCAACACACTGCACATGAGAGGTCTGAAGGGGCTGTAAGTCAAGTGAGAGAGGAAAAAAGGTTCAGTCCAGTGCCTGAGAAAGCAGGGTCCCCTAACTGAATCTACAAATGAGTACAAGAAATATGGATGAGCAAAACTCACAATTTTCATTTCCCATTTGTTTTTAGCCAAAATCAACTTTGTAGAAATGTTGCCATTTTGGCAAAATGCATTATAGTCAATAGGAAAGGTGAGTTGAAGGTGATTGTTGGTGGTTTATAAGGGTATCGTGAGAGTTAAAATCGCTCCTGAGGGTTAGGGAAGTTCCTTCTAAACATCCCTGGCCTGTTGTTGTGCCTTAAAGGTCTTCTTGTCAACCTCTGTATTTTACATTTGTTTCACAGAATAAAAAGAACAGTAAATAAAATAACCCCCCCCCCCAAAAAAAAAAACCCCTTGCCCTGTAAACCAAAAAAAAACTTTTAGTGGATGAAACACAAAGCTCTGGCTCTTTGATACACCAGGCTTACTGTATAAGGGAGACAACAAGTAACCTACAGTGCATGCATGAGTTTAGGAATATATCTCCTGCATTACAAAAAGGTAAGAAAAAGGGTTCCAAGATAACAGGATTGCTAATGAAAAACCTGGATGACACTAAACTCAAACGTTAAAGGAGATCTATGAGGTGAGGGATTTACACTCATCCTCATAGTTAGAACCGACGTGTGACATTGAAACTGTCACAAAGCGGCTCTATAGATCGGGAAGTGAACAAACAGATACCGTCGCTCGCTCACTTCCCGATTGTCTCCCTGCAGAGTGACAGACACTGCTCCCTGCAGGGATTCCCTTCCTCCAATTCTGCAGCGCTGACTGGAGGAACAGGCAGGGAAGGGGGGCACAGCTAGCTCTTCGTCTGGGTGGCTCTTGACAGTATTGTTGGGATCCGTCCCGCCTGCGGCGCTCTCAGCATATAGAGGGAAATAACCCGCTATATACGGAGCTTTGGGTCACGGGAGGAAGTTAGTATATGACCTCCTGTGACCCTAAAGAGAACTATGGGATAAAAAGGTTACCCTATTCTCTTTTAAATCTTAAAAATGCATTCAAGTACCTTAACTATTAACAAAAATGTATCTTATTTGTGTATCACTTAGCTGTACATCCTCAAATCATCTCTGAATTCATGCTAATTCATGCATTCATGCAACTGTCCTTCCTTCTGGAGGGGTGCTATTTTTGTTCCCCATGATCCCTGTGTGTGTTGTAAAGTAGCCATCACTCCAAGCTCGCTCCTGATATGTACTATAATATCATGTTTAGTTTACTGATTTGTATTGAAGTTATAGTCTATGATTTTACAATACCTTTCATTCACCTTTCTGCATTAATGTAAGTGTTATGCCATTTTTGAACATTATCTAGGAACTTTCACCTGTTACTTTCAAGTTTTACTGTTCAAACGCACAGTAATCGCACATTAAACTCCCTCTTCGTTCTGGGGCGGTAGGGGATGTGGCGGTACATTAAAGTCAATGGTCCAGTGCATGCTGCATTTTTTTGCGATCGCACTGGAACGGAACGCTGCAATAATTTGCCACGCGTCCAATCGCACTGCCGACGGGGTGTGTGGCTGCAGTCCCATTGACTTCAATGCACGGGTAACTTCATGTTGTTTACCAGATATGTTTTCCTCCACAGAAAACCAAAAAACAACCAGAGGGTTAAAGAACCAGGACGATGTTCCTTGTCACATATTTCAGCACCAGCAAGAGAAATATCCTGACAATTATGCTTTCCACTTATAGATGAGGAACTTCAATTTACTATGTGTTCCTTCCGTCTGTGGATGTTCCCGATAGCTGACAACTCACAAATGAGTTTAATTTGACCTCTGTCTACCAAAAGCAAATTATTCACAGGAATTTGGAACAGTAATGAAATGTATCACTTTTAATTCAAGAGGAATATTTAACAGCCATGGCCATACAGATGAGGCTTTTTTATGAGGCTTGTTCTACAGGTCAATTGCTTAACTAAAGGTTGTGCCCTTGTAGACAGTGTAAAAATGTGTATGTTAAACAGGGAACCTCAAAGGTTATGGATAATAGCTGAGAATCTAGTGATACCGTCTCAAGATTGTGGGGATCCTCCACATCAACAGTGGTTGGTTTAAGTTCCCTGAAACGTAGGGTCTAAGGAACATCAGGCTGTAGCCACAAATGCCCACAAATTAGGTATGGAGCTTCACAGGTTTTCCCCAGTGACAGCAGGTAATGTTGATGGGTGACAAACAAGGTGAAGAACCAGATCAACTGTCAGTCAGTCACTGGAGCCTGTAGGCACAAACGTTTTGGAGTCCTAAGTAACACCTCTCTTCTAGGGTCACCTACACTTTACCTAGGGCATTATTTTGTTTTCCTGGCCCTAACCTGATTTTGAATATTGTACTGATGTGTACTTAACCTTACATGATCAGATCAGCAAAAGAGAAAGAACAATTTTTCTAAGAAACTGTGCAACATAGCCTACCAAGCAGAATTTGTTTGGTGTCGGGAAAAGTCAGAGGTATGCTAGCACTGTGTCTCTGCTGTAATTTGAATGAAGCCCAGCAGATGGAGTAGGTGTGTGACAAAGAATGTGTTCAACAGCGGAGGACAGATACTGGAATCAGAACTGCCCGGGAAAAGCCAGACCTGTGACTGTCTAAAGGGTTAGCAGTAGCACGTGGTTCATACAGGTAAAAATAATGAACTCAACTTACAAAAGAAGTTAAAAAATAAAAACAAAAAAGTATAGTTCTGACATTTAAACACTTAGGCAAAGGCATACATTAAGATTGGCAGCCAGAACACACTAATGTATGAATCTTGGTTTTCTAACACTACAATTGAACTTGAAGACCATGTTGGGAGAAAACAAAATCGCTATTACTACACAGGCAGATGTAGTCATCATAGTTTGCTATCATCTTCATAAAAGGCAGAAGATATAGAAGCATAGGTGTGTAACAAAGCAGTATAAGATCCCAATTATACTTTGCCATTTTGGTGCATTGCGTTACATGCTCGTTGATATGCACTATGTTGCGCATTAACATGCATTACATTAAGAAAGACCATTCAAATGAATGGGCTCCCAACACACCAGAACAGACAAAAAACAGACATGCAGCTTTTTTTTCTGATGCACACTACCATGCACATGAGTGAATTAAATGAGAATTGGGTGAGTGTGTTGGGTTGCTATTACAAATAAATGGTGCTGCAATGTACGTTGTGGTAACCCAAATGTTACTGCAACACACTGCACATGAGAGGTCTGAAGGGGCTGTAAGTCAAGTGAGAGAGGAAAAAAGGTTCAGTCCAGTGCCTGAGAAAGCAGGGTCCCCTAACTGAATCTACAAATGAGTACAAGAAATATGGATGAGCAAAACTCACAATTTTCATTTCCCATTTGTTTTTAGCCAAAATCAACTTTGTAGAAATGTTGCCATTTTGGCAAAATGCATTATAGTCAATAGGAAAGGTGAGTTGAAGGTGATTGTTGGTGGTTTATAAGGGTATCGTGAGAGTTAAAATCGCTCCTGAGGGTTAGGGAAGTTCCTTCTAAACATCCCTGGCCTGTTGTTGTGCCTTAAAGGTCTTCTTGTCAACCTCTGTATTTTACATTTGTTTCACAGAATAAAAAGAACAGTAAATAAAATAAC